AACAGGACTGAAGAATAAGTAGACTACGTGGATAGTTCCATAGCTACAGTCTAAGTTCCATATATAGCTAATTCGATGCAGGGAATGCAATACACATATCAGACCTTAACAGTTTCCGCAGCACTTAAAATTCCTGCAAGCTCAAACATGACCAAATGAAATCCACATTGAGATAGCAGCAACGATAGACTTAGATCTGTGGTCATAGATAAGTGTCGGGCAATTTTCACAGGGCAGGATTTATCTGGGAGACAAAAGTAAAACAGACTACTTATTTTGTCGAAAGCCAAGTTGTAGAAAACTAAAATTTCCCCATACAACAAAACTAAATTGTGTTTGGAAAAATAATAAAGAAAATGATAACTAACTATTAAGCAAAGTTCACCAAGAGATCTACCAAGCACCTAATTGGGCATTTACCTCAGCAAGTTCTGATCCACCCCATGGAAGGCAAGATAATATGCAAGTTACAAAGAAGTCACCACGAGCTTGCCATGAAGGATTTCCCTTCTCTTCATCAACTGTGGTGGCAGCAGAAGACAGCAATGTTTCAAAAACAACCGCAAGGGAAGCAGGCTGGAGAACTTTACTACACATCTGTAAAGGAGAAAAGAGAACCATGTCACCAAGTTTTCTGTGTTGCTTAGAAATGATACATAGCATCCATGTAATACCATCAGATCAGGCAAAATAGAATATCAGTTTCCTTGCTCGAAATACAAATTACAAAAGGTAATTTAGTTTGGTAAGTTGCACATAACATAATTATCCTGACTCAATAAAGAAAGCAACCTGAATAGGTTTTCGACTTTCAAGTTCCAACACACTCGCGCACACAGACAAAGACAAACAAAGACCCGCATCCTAATTCTTTCATGTAAAAAGAGGAACTCTATAGAGCAAAACCTTCACAAACTGGAGATCAATGTTAACAGTTAATCACTTTTATGCACATACCAGAGCAGTTAGAAATCGCATCAGAACACGAATCCTGTCGCAATTGCCAGAATCCAATGCCTCCTGAAATGTTCAACAATGAGGAATAAGGAAAGTACTATGTAAAACAGTAACATTTTCCAAACACTAAAACCAGAATCAAGAACTAGATTTACAAAATTAAAGTAGTTCCAAAGATAGCACCATCAAAGCACAGACTTTTTTTTTCAGTGAGAAGTCGAAGTGGAAAACCGAAAATAGCGAAACCTGCAGGACTATTCTCTCTCTATCTATTGTTTATGTAAGAACAAATATATGTCTCTGTGGTTCTTAGAACCCGTCTAAACAACAATGTGCCATCTACATAACTGGAAAATGGTCATCCAGCAAAATGTAAAATGGTCCAAGATCCAGAATGTAATAGAGACTCTAGAAGTACTTCATAAAGAAAAAGAGAGATTCACATAGTGACTCCAGAAGTAAACATGACAACGATAAAAAGGGGAAAAGAGAAATGCTCAACCTGAAAACGAGTCTGAGTAGTCTCGACTATTCCCTTTACGAAGTCCTCATTTTCCAGGTTCAACAAGCCAATCTGCGATAGAAGAGCAAAAGCACAAGATCAACCTATCACAAATACTCAATCCTTACAAATCTCACCCTCGAAACTGTATACACATGGTCCTAGCACTACTATTTGGCCCCTCAAGTTATCACTAAACACAACCCGAAATGATTCTGCTACTATCAATACAAGAAGAACATAAAGTGGCATGAAAAACTGGATTAGTACTCAGAAGCAAAAAAAAAACCCTTTGAGATACAGAATTTTCAATCAGACCTAGTAAGGACATACTGTTCTTCAGATTTGAGGCAAGGTACAATCCGAAAGCAGATAGTGCATACATGATAGACACTGACTAGTCAATATATTCGAGAAGCAAAGAGCAAGGAGGCCTTTAGAAGCACTAACCACAGTTCCAAGCAGCGGAATCTTGTGAGGCAAACCTTCGGCACATTCGATAAGGAACTGTGAAACACCAACAACAACAAAAATGTAAGCTGTACATCTCCATTCTCCACCAGGATTCGCAATAGGATATGAGCACAAATATCAAACCCTACACAATCTCAATTCACAAGAACAACAGCAAAATTCACCGTACATTTGAAATATCGCCGGCGGAGTGCTCCAACTCTCGCCGAACAACTCCATAACACGTTTCCTGCACATTACCAACACCAAAACCGCGTGGTTACTATCCAATGCTTACGTACCGAAACGAATGACAGGATAAACGAGATATAAGTGGTCAGATTGAGTTAGGGTTTAGCGTGAAGCAGCGGAAGGAGGAGAAGAAAGAAGAGAGAGAGGAAATCGGAACTACGAACAATGTGTTCTTTGACGTCGGCGCTGCCGCCGTACTCCGGGCACTTGTTGCCGATTCGTAGAAGAAGGGTTCTCCAACTGCTCATCGTTTCTTCCCAATACCTCTCGTCGTCGATGACGAAGTGACCGTGAAGAGGATTTGAATTTGCAGAGCAGGGTTTAATGGTCTGCAAAGACTGCAGTTGGTAACGTCGTTGAAGAAAAGGAAAACCTTGGTCGGTCCCTAAATTTGACGAGAGTAACATTTTCGTCCCTAGTAATTTAGGGAGCTTGTTTTTTTAACCCTTGTTGTTTGGCTAAATTGCAAGTTTGGTCACTTGAATTACTAGTAAATTTCACGTTAGCCACCAGAATTACTTTATTCCATCCGTAGTCACTTAAATTAGGTTACCAGTTCAAGTTTGGTCACTGGCCGTTAGTCTCCGTTAACTTTTGCTGATGTGGCGGTCAACTATTATAGTTGACCGTTAAATGAGTGACGTGGCAATTAAAAAAATAATAAAAAATAAAATAAAATAAATTCTTATTTTCTAGCTAATTATTATAAATTTAAAAAAAAAACAAATTTTTTTAACTATTATTTTCCACCGTGTTCATCTACAATGGGTTCACCGGATGATTTGCATATCCTTCCATTTCCAAATCCACAACTTCCTGAACCGTCTCCAAGAGCCCAGCAGACATGGGGTTCTTTGCAAGCTCTTATAAGCTATCCATCCCACCCTCATTTCCTTGATGATAGATCGAATTTGAGCTGTCTTCCACGATTTCATGATTTCCAAGCTGCTTCTTGCGTTCGAGGGTACCCTTTAGCATCATCCATCCTTCCCACGATATCATCCATGCCCCCGACCCCAGCCATCCCTCGGAAATGGCAATGTTGTTGGGCCTGACCTCCTCCTCTTCCTCCGCCGCTACCATCGCAGGCGCGCCCGTCGACGGGGATCCTACCTGCCGAATTCCCCGCCGTCCACCAACGGAGCCGGCGATTACCTCGACTCGCCGTCGCCGCTCTTCGACTCCCCCGGCGGATTCCACCACATCTACGTCGGCGCCTCTCCCTACGATCTCGACGAGTCGGTGATCAAGACGATTCCAATCTCCCTCTAAAGCAGCAGCAGCGGCAGTTTCCGTAAATTGCCCTCCCCTGCTGCCACCGCCGCCGTCTGCCTGCTGGAATTCGAAGACGGAGATTACGTGTGCAAGCTTCCCGTCTGCTCCCACGCCTTCCACGTCGATTGCATCGACATCTGGCCGGGTTAGGTCTCACGCCAACTGCTCGCTCTGCCGCGCCAAGCCAGGATTTCTCTCCGACCTCCGGAATTCGGGCCGCTCATGGCGGCGCGAATTCGGCCCAGCCTCATCGACGAGCGCTCCAATGCGTTATCGAGTCTTTCAAGTAGAGAATTTTGGAGTTCGATTTCCCGTCCTCGGGGTAGTAGAATTGCAATGCCGGCGAAGTTAGCGGGGAGACGATAAGCACAATGACGGTGGAAAATAATAATTAAAAAAAATTGATTTTTCTTTTTTTAATTTATAATAATTAGCTGGAAAATAAGAATTTATTTTTTTTTTATTTTTTTTTAATTGCCATGTCACTCATTTAACGGTCAACTATAATAGTTGACCGCCACATCAGCAAAAGTTAACGGAGACTAACGGCCAGTGACCAAACTTGAACTGCTAACCTAATTTAAGTGACTACGGATGAAATAAAGTAATTCTAGTGGCTAATGTGAAATTTACTAGTAATTCAAGTGACCAAACTTGCAATTGAGCCCTTGTTGTTCTGAATCGCTATTCGTCGCCCTAAAATTTTATAAAAATCGCCCTAAGTCATGCTACATTGACTTTTATACCCCTATTTCCAATTTCAATCCTAACCCGTAACTTCCCCACCAGCCAAATACCAATACCGGCCGCCGCTGCCGTTCACCCAACCGTCGACCCGCTGCCGTTCACCCAACCGTCGACCCGCTGCTGTTGCTGAGGAGATTAGTAACTGTCGCTCTCTGTTCTTTATATAGAGAGAATAGACAAGTGGGTGCGGATGAATATTGTTTTTCCATGGTGGTTTATAATGATTCATTGATAGCCATTGCTATCTGGTTTTTAAAATGTCGATTCCACAATCCGCCGCTGGCGTTCCCCCAGCCGAACCGCTGTTATTGTTATTTTTTTATACTCGTCGCGGACGGGTTGTCTATTATCCCAAGCTCTCCGGCGACGCTGAGTTCGAAAGAAAAAAATCTAAGGGCATAAAAGTAAAATTAACATAATTAGGGCGACAAATAAAGATTATTAGGGCGACGAATAGCAATCCCCCTTGTTGTTTGTATACCTCATGATATCGTAGATACCAAAATAATACTAGCGAAATATTATCTTGCAATAACCTATTGTCCATCTTAGTGTGCATTTGGCATTTATAACTCTCAAATTGAGTTGTGGATCAATGATAATGCAATTTTGTATATTACACGACAATCACATTATATCGTTGGTATTTCCTTCTCTTTTTTGGACTCCATTGCAACTTGTCTTGGGTGGTAGAACTTCTACTAAACCGAAACCGCTGACCCTGGACTAAAACCCGACCCACGAGAAGTGGTTCATAACTCGTGAATTCGACCTGTTGCTTGACATGCCTTCCCCTGCTAGGTTCATATGTGACTCGAACAACCCTGATCTCATTATCATCTATATCGGAGCAAATTCGATCTTGTTTGGTACGTAAATGTAACCACTCACAAACTCAACTCGCTATGATGATTCGTAATCGACAGAAGTGAAGAAGTAGCAGATTCAACACGAACTACACCACACATTAAACATCACACAATCAGTTACATTGTTCTTCACCTACACAAACACTCCACAAAAGGGATTTTTATTCATTATTCCACACTCCTTTTTCACAAACTCCCCTTTTCAAAGCTCCAAAACACTCATAATCACCACCACACTTCGAGTAAAAACTACACACCAATAACCTCCGAGGAAGGAGTGAAGAAGTACATGTCACCAAGCCTATCATTGCTAGGCGAATTCCCACCATACACCAACAACCCTTTCTCTCCGTTCATCTCCCCGCCGGCGAAAGCGCACCATCCCCGCGGACCCGGATGGCTCTCGCTACCGCCGCCATCGTCCAGCCGCTTCCACGACAGCGTCTCGGTGTCCAATGCGTAAGCATCTCCGGCGAACATCCCGGCGCCCATATGCCCCAAGTCGCTAGGATCAACTTCCCCTCCATAGATCACTATGTGCTTCCCAATCCCAAGAGTGGAGAACACACTCCTCGCAGTGGGCTTTTCTCCCGCGGTATCCACATGGGCCCATTTCTTCTGGGCCGGATCGTAGCAATGCACGTCGTCCACTTCCATCCCTGCAAACCCATACACGACCCAAATCCTACCTTGGGCCACGGCGAGCCCAGGCCCGCCTCGCCCCTTGCATCCCTCTCCCGGGCTCGGGTACCCGACCCACTTCTTCTCCACCACGTCGTAACCCCACAGATCGTTCAGCCGGCCGTCGACGCCGCACCCACCGAAGACGTATACGTGGCGGTCGTCGGCCGCGGTGGAGTGGTAGCTCCGGTTGGCTGGCCCGGCGTCTCCAGTCGAGAGCAAGGTCCACTTGTTGGTTTCCGTGTCGAAGGCGTAGAGCTCGTTCAGCTCGTTGTGCTCGGTGTCCCTGCCGCCGAAGACGTAGATCATCTTGCCGACGGCGGACATCGTGACCCCGACTCGCGGCGGGGGCACGTCGCCGGTGGTTTGGGGAGCCGACCAGGTGAGGGTTTTGAGATCGAAGGCGTAGATCTGATTGTCCACGGGGACGCGTGGTGCGAACTCGCCGCCGAACGCGTAGGCCTTGTCGCCGACTAGGGCGACGGCGTGGGAGCTGCGTGCGCCTGGCCCTTTGCCTTCCTGTTCGAGCTGGAACAAGGGGGGAAATTGGGGATTCAGATTTACCAGATGGAAAAAATTGGGCGTTAGGGTTTCAATCTTGGAGAGTTGGGATTTGATGGAACAGTAAAAAAGGGGGAAATTGATGGGTAAAAGAAGCTGTTGAAGACCAGAGAGAACAAACCTTGACCCATTTGCCGTGGAGCGCAGCCATTTCTATCAGTGGAGAGCTCTCTGCTTGATTGATTGATCCCACCAGCGGAAGAATGCGACGCCTTTCTGAAATGAAAATGATCGACAATTATTCTTTCCCCAACCCAACTACTGTGAAGGTTGTCGCTTTTTATTTTGTATTTTTGTTTCTATAATCTCATTAAAACATTTTTTAAAATTTAAAACAAACCAGGTTATAATGACAATCAAAAGCCCAATCTAGAGAGTATGGTCATCCACCATTTGGGCCCAAAAGCCTGGCCCATCTAACAAATGTCAAACGTCAGATAATTACACACGCTTTCGGCGTCCAAATCGTGATTCCCACCACGTCACAAAAAATTGAAAAAAGGCTCGACTTAATCAACTAGCCGTTGAGGGGGAAAGCTCGGGGGATCGTAACGTTCGGGAAAGAAAGAAAACCCGACCCGCGTCGTCCTTTCGCCCGGAACTGAGGGTCCATTTTCTTATATAAACCCCGCCGCACCCCTGCTACTTCCGACGCTCCTCTCTCTCTCTCTTTACTTCGTCTCTCTCTCTCTCTAACGTTTCTTTCCGTCGCTCTCTCTCTCTCTTCTCGCCGCCGGACTTGCGGAAGGAAAGAAGGAACGAGAGAGACGAAAGGAAAGGAAAAAACTCCATTTCTTCTTGTGCTTCTGATCCCCACCATCTTTGATTTTGTTTCGTTGTTTCTGATCTCACTCCACCGTGTTTTAGAATGGCCACCGTTAACTACAACGCACCATCGGCCACTCCCACTGCCGCGGCGGCTGCTCCGGCGAAGAACGTCGATACCCAATCTGTGCTCAAAAGGTACTTGATCAAATAGCTAGCTGAATTACCGATCAAGAACTGTTCATTTAAATTTTAAATCCTCGATGTTAATTTTGATTGGATTGTTGGAGAGAGATCTCGGTTTCTCATCCTCAGTTCTCTGTTGCTTGGATTTGTTTGTTGATTAACAGGTTGCAGTCGGAGCTGATGGCCCTAATGGTGAGAGGAGAAATCTCCTAAACGAATTTGCAATTGTCAATTGATTGATTTTGGTTTGGTTGGTTTCCGTTGGCTGATTCAAGAGATCTGGTTATGGCGGGGGTTTTTTTGTTGTGAACAGATGAGTGGAGAAACAGGGATATCAGCATTTCCAGAGGAAGACAACATCTTCTGCTGGAAAGGGACGATCACTGGGAGCAAAGATACAGTCTTTGAAGGAACCGAGTACAAGCTGTCTTTAGCTTTCCCCAACAGCTACCCTTTCAAGCCGCCAAAGGTGAAGTTCGAGACCACCTGCTTCCACCCGAATGTGGATGTGTACGGCAACATCTGCCTGGACATTCTTCAGGACAAGTGGTCTTCTGCGTATGACGTTCGGACTATTCTGTTGTCCATCCAAAGCTTGCTTGGAGGTCTGTTCTGTACTAGATATCTCTGCAACTTTCTACTCAGAATGCTGTTTCAGCAATGGATTCGATGATCAATGTCGCAATGTTGTTTGGATCTGATGTTATTGTGTGTGTGTTTGTATGCTCATCTTGTGTACAGAGCCAAACATCAGTTCGCCACTCAACACTCAGGCAGCACAAATGTGGAGCAATCAAGAAGGTAAGGCAGCTCGAGATATGAGTTTACTTGGAGAAAGGGTGCTTTTGAAGTTACGAATCATTCACAAGAATGTTTCATCTAACTGACTCTGATGGAACATTTATATGGTTGCAGAGTACCGAAAGATGGTGGAGAAGTTGTACAAGCCTCCAGCAGCAACTGCATAGGATAGATGATAACTGGGTTTTACTTTACTTACTTGGATGTCCTTGAGAGATTACCTACTGTGGTCATCTGATTTTATGTTGTCCATCACTGTAATAATTCAGTGCCAGTTTCTAATGAATGAGATAATACCATTTGATTACTCTCCTGTCTCTGCCATGGTATGCTTTTGAATAAGATAAAAGAATATAGAGCAAAATCAACAAACAACACACAAGCAAGCAATTGCTTTATCTTCTCTTCTGTGCCAAGTTTCTAATGAAATGAGATAATACCGTTTGATTACTCTGCTCAATCTCTCTCTCTATCTATCTATGTCATGGTTTGCTTTGGAATAAGATATAATATAGAGCAAAAAAAATAGCAAGCAATAGCTTTAACTTTTCAGCTCAAGGAAATCCATCCATATAGAAAGTTCATTCTCTAGCTGTTGACATAAATAACAATCAGAGAAATGTATCTGATTAACTAGACTCTAAAAGAACATGCATGGCGGTGCTCTACTGATTTGGTGGGGGAGAGGTGAGCTGCCTGATGTTGTACTTGGCCAACTCCTTGTACTTTTCTACAACTCCAATCAAGCAAACTGTCTGGAATTGAATAAGAGGAATAAGAGCAGACCATCAGAACTTCCGGGCGAAAAATCATTTGTGTAATACCAAGGAAACACTTAAAGGATGATATTTGCACTACCTTCACGATTTCGACAATGATTGTCTTGTTAGGATTGCTGAGATCAACTTTATGAGGCTCAGGAACTGCCTTCGCCACTGCATTTATGACCTTTGCCCTGTCGATCCCACTGTTTGCTCTCGCTTCGTACATGACAGCAAACTGCATACAGAGAACCGAGTATCAGGATGCTAACCAAGAGATAACTAAAATGAAATTTAGCATTACCTTATGTGGTTCTGGAGCATCCACAGGGAAGTGCTTTGCGACGAGTGGTGCAATTGCCCTTGAAATTTCCTCATCAGAAGGATAGCAGGATGCCTCAATTGGCAACAATCTTAAGAGGAACCTGAAACAATTGGATACAGATACATGAAAGAGTGTCAGCAGCAGGAGATTTCTTGTTGGTGTCAAAGTTGAAGTGAGCGAAGCACATAACAAAGCAAGTTTTGTTATGAACCTTGACACGTGTTTTTTGGATGATGCCAAAGTTGTCATCATGTGCTGTGCAACATCCTTGGGAGAAGGGCCTCCATCTCTCTTGCGCATTTGAACAAAAACAACACCATTGCATCCAGAATCGAGATTGATGAGAAGTCTCTGTTCGAACATGGCAACACATATATCTTCATTTGAAACTAAACCGAATATTATCTGATTCAATCCAATGCGGTACGATTCGCACCATGTGTGGACCGAATCGTGGCCCACACATGTAGGTTTGTGAGATGGGGAATAATACACTACTCACCTTACTCTTGTCCCCGAGTTCTTTGAGTTCTTCAGCTATAAGCTTGTCAATAGATTTCTCCTCCACTTTGGCTGCAACAGCACCTTCTGGATCATTAGTTTCAATGCACTGCTTTTTCACTGGTGCCTCCGCAGCAGGTTCTTTGGTTTCTTCTCCTTCATTAATGGTCTTCTCTTCTACTGGATCTACGTTACTACACTCCACAGCAGTTGGAACACTCGCCCCCTCGGTCGTTTTAGACTCGGCCTCAGTGCCATTTCCAGAGGAATCATCTTCACCTTTCACATCATCCCCGTTGCCTTTCTTCTCATCCAACTCTTCCTCAGCTTTATCATCCTCCCCCTCTTCCTCTTCTTCATCGTCAGAGTATGTGAACTTGATCTTTTTGTTCTGTGGTTTACTTGGCAGTTCGGAGAGCTTCACATTACCACCTTTTCCATCGACTAGCTCTTCATAGAACTGCAGATAGGCAAAGTCGTGCATTCAGTCTCAGTCATATGAACAAAATTTCAGTGAGCCAACAAGCTGAACATCTATAACACTGAGACAATAGCAGAAAGAGTATAATGAAAATAAAACTAATTTGATGCCTTTTTCCCTGGCACATAGAATCAAGAATTTCTCAATAAGAGGTGTGAAAAACTTGCCAGATTCTAAAGTTACCAACACAAATTAAGTCAGTAATGAATATCCAAAATCAAAACTTTCCTTCGTATACGAAAATTATATCATCATCAGAGGCGAAATCAAAGACCTTAACTAACTTGGAATGAACGGTATTCTAACCCCAAACAACGTCAGAGAAATCAAGCGACTCTAGCAACGAAAGCCCTTCGTTAGTTACATCACTGCCCTAAATTAACCCTATGAGCTCCAGCCAACACACTATACATCATTACCAGGGAACTAAACATAGTTCAACGCAGAAAGAAAACAACTTTGGCCTAAAAAGGAACTACCCAGCAAGCAAATCCGCAGCATGATTAAGCACATAAGCAAAAATCCATCAACAAAATAAGTGAAACCAAGCAGAAATCTCACAGTTTCGATAACGTTCATAGCCTCGAAAGCAGCTTGGCGTTCTCTGCCGCCATCGCAGGTAATGAAGAAACCTTCAACTCCTGGATGTAACGGGTAAGAACCTTTCTTCTTGACCGGTTTCTGCAAAAACCACACATACGAAACTGGCCGAAATTAACCCAACAATTATAGTGCAAAATTAACCGCCACTGCTTGTAGCCTAGAAGCAATAGAATTTCTATTCTTACGTTGTGGGGAAGATACTGCTTTCGCTTTTTCCCCTTGCCAGCTGCGTTTTCAGTCGCCATTTGCCGCCGCTGGGTTACTAGATGATCGGCGTTCAGCAGAAGAAAACGGGAGCCGTGGGAAGAGAAAGGAAAGGAGAAGTTGCGGCGGAGACTTGGGTCAGTTCTTCTGGCGGGGAGCGGCGGGACTGGGAACCCGGGCTCCTTAAGCGAACATGGGCTTGATTTCGGGCCGCATTCTGCCGAGGCCCAAATGAAAACATTAGCAAACTTCCAGCCCACGAAAATGAAAGAGCGAGAGAGAGATTCTGACTTGGGTCACGAAAAGAAGCTTCGACGGGTCCATCCCAGCTGAGGAGCGGATATAACAAAGTCTCCCGTTCCACCCGCGATTAATTTTTGTAGGGCTCTTCTTGCCTTCTCTAATGACAATCGTGGTGATATAAGACTAGTTTAACAACGGTAAGAATTTCGGACTAATTGATATCGGTATACGACTAAAGTATTCGAGTTGTCATAATATACTAGCTCTTTAACTCGGTTCGTTGGCCCGACTACTTTAGATTACCGGCTCGTAGAGCGAGAGTGTGACGGTAAGAGTGGGAGAGGCGCGGAGAGCAATTGTTTTTGGAGAATTGTATATTCAAAAGGTTAATATTACCAGATTTTAAACAAAATATTACAATACGTTTTTTTAAAACAATCAATTCAATAAATACACCAACGGATAATAGAAAAGTACATATAGCCTGAAAGCAAAATATACAATATATTGATATAAGATTTTTCTCACAATGTTAGTGTTTGTGCCTAGTAGATACTAGGGGTTTATGGAGCTGGAGTGAGGCGTCTGTTCCTGGACTGAGGGGGGCGCTTCAGATACTCTGCAAAACAAGGGTCCGGGGTGGTCGCCCGGGACACTCTCCAAAGCTTAAGTTAGAGAGAAAAGGGGAGAATAAGAGAATTTATGTAGAGAGATGGGTAGTAGTTGGGTTTACCATAAATGAGCTTACTCTGTATTTATACCTGTTTCGAGGGTAATTGAGGCATTAAATGCCTTGTCGGGCGCCCTGGGCCGTGTCGGGCGCCCCGAGCAGGCTTTTTACCTTTCTGCAGGCCGCCTGTGGCCTGCAATAAATGCTCAGTCTTGCCTGACACCAGATACGTATCTCCAACGGCTCCCTGCCCTTCTGTGTTGTTCAGTTGCTTTATGTCAGGTGCCCTTATCTGTTTTCGGGTTTGCGGCCGGTCAAGGACCGCCCGCTGACCCGGTCTTCTGATCGGACCTGGTCCCCTTATTGGGCCTTAACTACGGATGCTCCCTTCTTGGGCCAAAGGCCCAATCATGCTCAACTATGCGGCCCAACAATTGCCCCTTAGGCGGGAAAAGCCTAGGATTTTGGCGGCTATCAATAATGCTTTTAGCTAGTTGAGCGGTTCGCGCCTCCTCCTTACCCTACTCTGCCCTTGGTCGCCGGGGGCCTAGGGTTGGCCTGCCTGAGGTGTAACCCGACCGCCTCGCAGGTTTTCGGGGTGGAGACGCCTTGCGCACGTGTTGGCAGGTTGGTTTCCGTGCTCTGACATCGGGCAGGAGAAACGTCTCTTCGCGTGCCCGTTTTTGAATTTCGTGGCCTAGGGCACTCAACCGTCACATCACCTCCTTTTTGCCGCTATATATATTTCGGGCCTCTGGTTTCTGGTCACTTTCGCACTCTGCTCACTCTGTCCTCTTTTCAAAATTGCGCGGTGCTCCAAATTTTCCCTCTCTCACTATTTGGAGACTCGGTTGTCTCTCTCAGCGGATCGACGTCGATTTCTGACCTCATTGAGGAAAACCCAGAAACGAGACAAGAAGAAGAGGAAACAGCTGCTGGCGATGGCCTCTCAATCGACCACTCCGTCCGACAGCTAGAATCGAGGTCTGTCCGGCGAGTCGGTTCTGCCGTCCGCCTCTAACGTTGCCACCAACACCGCCTCTGCTGCTGCGACGACGACCACCTCCGGCACGGTGGCGGCCACCGCTCCCGGCGACGGTGGTGCTTCCCGCGGCGGAGTCAGCGCCGTGCGTTCTGGTACCAAAGCCGCCAGTGCAGGCGGTCCTGCGGCCGGTGCAGGTATGCCTGACTTCTCTAGCCCTTTAAGTTTATCTGACATAGAATGGGACTCGGAGGGTATTGAATTGTTGTGTGGGGGTGGCGACGCGGTTGTTGCGGGTGAGCGTCTAGATAGGCCTGACGGTTGCATTTTAGGACTAGAAGTGGGCGCTCTTACTGATACGGCCACCTCCATGGTCGAGCGTGGCGGGACTTCCCGAGTTGGAGACAATTTGGTAGAGCTGTCATCGGAAAGTGCTCCGGAGGATGCGGCTCATGACTCTGCTAGGGAAGACTCGATAGAGAATTCCCCTTCGTTGGCCTTATCGGAGGCGCCCGTGATCCATCAGTTTCAGGCGGTCTCCGACCGTGAGTACCGGGTGCGCCTTCACGAGGACATGTGGGAGGGGGAAG